GGTCGCTCCGGCTCGCTCCGGGCCGAGCTTGGATTTTTTGTTGGAGCAGCTGCCGTGGATTCGAGGAATGCAGCTTTGCTTGTGGAAGTCGATGAATGGAGAGGAAGCATGCTGCCAAATCATGTCCAGATGTCTAAAAAGGTTTCAAAGGTTTCAAACATTCTTTAATTATGTAAAAACATGTTTGAAACATTTTTTAACATGTTTTGCACATTTTAAACACATCTTTAATTCAATGGTGGGATTGTTAGAGTGTCGATTGTCATGGCATCCACAAGGCTTTGAGTGGAATGGATTCGTCTTGCTTTCACCCCGCAGGCGGTGCCGCGTGATCTCTTTCTGCTCCAGGGCTGGGCACGTGGCGAATCGAGGAGACGAGTGCGTGTCTCGTCCCAGTGCGCGCCACGCGACGAGTGTGATACATTCGCCTCCCAAGCCTTGCCGCGTGGCGCGCGTAGCGACATTTGTTTTCTGGTGTCGAGCCCCGAGGCGCTGCCACGTGGCGAGTAGAGTGGAGTAGCACGTTTTCTGTCATTCGGGTGTTGCCGCGTGCTGGATAGAGAGAGAGAGAGAGAGTGGAATAGTATTTGCTTCCGCCCCTCCGCGTTGCCTCGTGGTATGCAGAAAGGTATCGTCGGTTTGTTCCGCACGCAAGTCGTTGCCGCGTGACGAGTGGAGCGAGATCGGAGGTGAGGGGGTGAGATCGAAGTGGAACGGAGAGCCCCCCTACCAGGAAATCGATTTCGGTTTCGTGTTCGTGCGTGCCGTGCGTGCGAGGCGAAGCTGCGTGGGCGGGCGAGAGAAAGTCTCCTGTGGCTGAGGCGCGGCCGGACCAAATGATTCCCTTCCGGGCGGCCGGGGCCCCGCGGTGTCCCGCCGGTGTCCCGCTGGTGTCCCGTGTAGCTGAGGCGCGGCCAGACCAAATGATTCCCTTCCGGGCGGCCGGGGCCCCGCGGTGTCCCGCCGTTGTCCCGCGGTGTCCCGCGGTGTCCCGCGGTGTCCCGCGGTGTCCCGCGGTGTCCCGCCGGTGTCCCGCGGTGTCCCGCGAGGATGATGATGATGAGATGATGAGATGATGATGATGATGATGATGATGATGATGATGATGATGACGATGATGATGATGATGATGATGATGATGGTGTCCCGATGAAGATGAAGATGATGTTGATGATGGTGTCGATGATGATGATAGTGTCCCGATGATGAGGATGATGATGCTCATGATGATCATGTTGATGATAATGACGATGTCGGTGTCCCGATGATGATGATGATGATGATGATGATGATGATGATGGATGATTCCGATGATGTTGGTGATGATGATGTTGATGGAAATGGTGTCCCGGCGATAATGATGTTGATGATGATGATGTTGATGATGATTATGGTGTCCCGATGATGATGCTGATGATGATGATGGTGATGATGATGGTGATGCTGATGGTGTCCCGATGATGATAATAATGATAATGACGATGTTGATGATGATGTTGCTCATGATGCTGATGGTGCCCCAATGATGATGATGTTGTTGATGATGATGATGTCGATGATGATGATGATGATGATGATGCGATGATCATGATGATGATGGTGTCCCGAGGATGATGACGATGTTGATGATAATGTTGATGATGAGAACGATGGTGATCATGATGGTGTCCCGGTTATGATGATGATTCTGATGATGCTGCTGATGATGATGACGATGACTGTGTCCCGATGATGATGATGATGATGATGATGATGATGATGATGATGATGATGATGATGTTGATGATGAGATGATGATGGTGATGATGATGATGTTGTCCCGATGATGATGCTGACGTTGATGATGATGTTTATGATGATGATGACGGTGCCCTCATGATGATGACGATGTTGGTGATGATGTTGATGTTGATGATGATGATTGATGATGATGACGTTGATTGTGAGAGCGATTGTGATATCGATAGTGAGATCGATATTGAGACCGAATGTGAGATCGATTGTGTGATCGATTGTGAGATCGATTGTGAGATCAATTGTGAGATCGATCGAATGAGATAGATCGAGTGAGATCGATTGTGAGATCGATCGAGTGAGATCGATCGAGCGAGACCGTTAGTGAGATCGATACTGAGATCGATAGTGAGACCGATCGAGTGAGACGTTGGTTCCCCCCCCCCGAACCTCCTTATCACCCGAAGGGTGGTCGTATAGTATAGTATTTTAGTTCGCCCCCCCAGACCTTGCCACGTGACGAGTAGAGTGGGATAGTACGTTTCGGCCCCAGGCGTTGTTGCTTGGCGAGTAGAGCGGAATAGTATGTACTTCCGCTCCTCTTCGGTGCCACGCGGCGTGTAGAGTTACATAGTTTTTTGATGTTGTTGTTGTTGTTGTTGTTGTTGTTGTTGTTGTCGTTGTCGTTGTCGTTGTCGTCGTCGTCGTCGTCGTTGTAATTGTTGTTTGGGGGGGGCTGTTTTCTTCGTTTCCTTCTGGGGTTTGCGTCGTGACGAGTAGAATGGAGGATTAGCTTTCTTGTCCGCCCAGGCGTTGCCCCGCGTCGTTGCTACTTGACCATTGGAATGGAATCGTTTTCTTCTGCCTTCCCAGGCGTTGCCACGTGGCAAGTGGAGTGGAATAGCATGTTTTCGGCCCCGGGCGTTGTTACTTGACGAGTAGAGTGGAAAGCATTTGCTTCCCCTTCTCTGCGGTGCCACGTGGCGGGTAGAATTTCAGAGTTTATTTTCCAGGGGTTTCTTCGTGACGAGTATGGTGGAGTGTTTTGTTCTGTCCGCCCAGGCGTGGCCGTGTGGCGAGTAGATCGGAACGGTATTCTTGTGCACCGGAACACTATCTTTTTGCCCCGGCTCGTTGCCACGTGACCATGGAGTTGAATCGTATTATCTCCTCCCCTCTGAAGTGCAACGTGTCGTGTAGAAGGGTCTCGCGTTTTCTCGTGCACTAGGTGCTGCCGCTCGACGAGTAGAGTGGGATAGTATACGTTTCGCTCTCCCAAGCGTTGCCACGTGGCGAGTGGAGTGGAATAGTATGTTTTTGACCTTCAAGCGTTGCCGTGTGATGAGTAGAGTGGAATAGTATTTTCTTCCATCCCTTTGCGTTTCCACGTGGCGTGTTAGAAGGGTCGGCTGGTGGGGGTTGAAATCGCAGTGGATCTGAGAGCCCCCCACCGAAATCGGTTTCGGTTTCGTCTTCGTGTCGTGCTTGTGGGCGAGGCGAAGCTGCGTGGGCGCGCGAGAGGAATGACGCCGCCATGGTTACGGGCTGTGGAGCCAGTTGTCCGCCCCTCCTCCCCCCAGCGCGCGGTGGCCGGGGGTGTCCCGTCGGTGTCCCGTCGGTGTCCCGTCGGTGTTCCGTGTCCCGGAGCACTGCAGCGCGAGTCAATGTCCCAGAGCAGGGCGGCGAAATCGATAGTGAGATCGTTTGGGAGATCGTTAGTGAGATCCGTTGTGATATCGATAATGAGTTTTGCTGTGAGATCGTTGGTGAGATCGCTTGCTAGATTTATGTAGTGTGATCGACAGTGATATCGATCATGAGATCGATTTTTAGATCGATTGGGAAATTGATTGTGAGACTGATAGTGAAAACCAATTTCAGATCGATAGTAAGTCCGAATGCGAGATCTATAGTGAGTTCGATTGTCAGATCGACGGTGCGATCGATTGGGAGATCGATCGTGCGATCTGTTGTGAGATCGATCGTGAGATCGGATGTACGATCGATTGTGCTATCGATAGCGATCGAATGTGACATTTGCTGTAACGTCGAACGATCGCCGCGAGACAAATCGTGATGACATTCATTTCGTTATGAGATCCAGCATGCAATCTTGAACGATAGTGAGATCTCGTGTGAGCTCGATCGTAAAACCGACAGGAGGTCGAACAAAACGGATGCCACTGTCGATGGGTCTTTTTCGTGCCCGCTCTGGCGATGGCGAGCACTGCCACCGTAGTCGTGTGGCCCAAGCACGCTTTACGCACGATCTCCTCCACCGCCTGCTGGATGTGTCAGCGGGCGGCGCGCGCCTTTTCGTAAGTCCTGCCTCGCCGCCAGGGTCTGCCAGCGGTGCCCCGCCAGGCTCTGCCAGCGGTGCCGAGTATGGTGGGTCGTGGCTGCAGAAGCAGCGGTTCAATTTCGCCGAGAGCTCCAGGAGGGGTTCGTGGAGCTCGCGCCTGAGTGCGTCCTTGTGAGCCAGCAGCTTCTCGATGCAAGTGTCAAGGTTCCGTGGGTGGCGCGCGCAGCGTGGCATCTAGCCAAAGCATCCCAGAACAAAATCGGGGACCACTATATGGAGAAGATCGTGTTGGCTTATGTACAGGGGCATCCCGGCAAACTGGTGGAGTTCGAGCTCACGCGCAACCAGCGCATTAAGGACTCCGCAGCACCTTGAACATTCATGGCGTGCTTCAAGGAGCCGCCGCAGGGCATGGATGCTCCTCGAAGTCCGTGGCAAGGAGCTCCTGCCACAGCGTGTGCGCGCTTACTGTGCGGAAGCGCTGATGAATGTGGGTGCGAGTTGGTGGGGGATGGGCTGCCGCCGTGCCAGGGACTTTGATGCGGAGTCGAGGCGCTGCAGAAGTGGTCGAGCCGAGCCCTAAGCAGGTGCCAGGCTTTGCCAGCTCTGCCAAGGCGTTCCCGCGTCCTTTTCACAGTGCGCCTTCTCTTCCCTGGTCTGCAGAAGTGGGCGCGCCGATCCCGATCATCGCGCGCCGTCGCCCATCCGAGGGCGCGTCGCCGGCATCGCATCGTTTTGTCGCAGTCGCCAAGATTGCCATCGGTTGTTTCCCCCCCAACCTCCTTATCGCCCGAAGGATGGTCGTGCAGGTGTAGTACGTAAGTTTGTTCCGCGCGCAAGGCGTTGCCGCGTGGCGAGTATAGCGGGGTCGTATCTTTCGCCCCCGAGGAGATGTTACGTGGCGAGCAGAGTGGCATCCTGCTTTTTCGGCTCCGGGCGTGGTTGCTTGACGAGTAGGGCGGAATAGTATTTGCTTCCGCTCCTCTGCGGTGCCACGCTGCGTGTATAATTGCTTGTTTGTCTGTCTTTTTTTTGTTTCACCCCCTCGGTTTGCTTCGTGGCGAGTGGAGTGGAGTGTTCGTTCTTTTGTCCGCCAGTGCGTTGCTGCGCGGCGAGTACGGCGGAACCTTATTTTGCTGCCCCGCGTCGGTCCCGCCTGACCAGCGGAGTGGAGTCGTATTTTTCTGCCCCCCCGAGCGTTTCCACGTGGCGGTATAGTGGAATCGTAATTTCTCCTCCCCTCTGCCATGCCACGTGTCGTGTAGGAAGGTATCGTTTTTTCGGGGTTTCGCGCGCTAGGAGTTGCCGCTTGTCGAGCACAGTGGCGCAGTACATGTTTCGCCTTCCCGGGCGTTGCCACGTGGCGACTCAAGCGACGTGTTTTCGCTCATTTGCCTTGCCACGTGGCGTGCAGACGCGTATCGTTGATTTCTCCCCGCCACGAGATGCTGCGTCACAAAAGCAACCGATTTTTGAGCTTGCAAGCTTGAGTGTTCACTTGTTGTTCAAACTTGCGAACGTTCCTCGTAAAAAGGTTTTAGGTGTATATATATGTATGTATACATCTTATACATAAAGTTTCGCATTTACAACCTTGACAACCTCGGAATAGGCAGGGCCCTCTGACTCGCTCGATCTGGCTAACTAACTTGACCGTTTCCTCATTCTCTCCTCCTACTCGGTCTGTGTCGGAAGGTGATATCAAGATATCCCAGCGCCGAGAGCGAGCAACCATGTCTCACCCGCTGGTCGGCGCGGGGCAACCGCACTGCTGTGGCATGTCGCTCCCCCCCTGACCAGGGCCAGCCTTCATAGTTGAATGGGGCGCGTGCCGAGTTGGGTCGAGTCGAGTCGATCCTCCTCCTCCTCCAGGTCCTCCTTCCTCTTCCCTCCTCCCCCCCTCTCCCCCAGGGAACGCTGTCCCTCGAGGTGAAGCCGTTCGGCAAGGCCGGGGTGCGCCTGTGCTGGTCCTGCACGCCTGGGCTGTCTGGGCTGCGCGGCAGCGTCCTGGCCGAGCTGCGCTCCGGGCCAGGGTGGCTGCTCGTGGCCGAAGCGCCCATGGCTTCTGGGGGCCGCCACTTACGTCAGGTTCGCATCGTGTCGACCGGCGGCGACCCCGCCGGCGGCGTTCAGCGTTGAAAGCCGCCGACGACCCAGAATCGGTCGACGTTGAACGATCTGGCGTCTCGAGAGCGGCCTGCCGGTCAAGTTTGAATGGTCCCCCCCGTGGTGTCGGAGACGCCGGGGTCGACGCGACACGAACCTGCCATACCCAGACTTCTTTCGAGGTCGTGACCTTTTCGCAGCGGGCCCCCCCCCAGAAAGACCCGACTCCTCCCCGGCCTGGATCATTGGGTGCCGTAATTTTCCAGTCGCGACCGACGAGATAGGGCGCTACCGATTCTTCTGCATATTCCGGTCTCTTTCGCGACGGATTTGCTTCAAAATCGGCTGCGTTGGACGCGATCGTGTATCCGATTATCCGGGGCAGGGTCAAGTCGGGCCTGTCCCTCTACAGGGGGAATGATAAAAGATATTCAGAAAATAGTCTGGGGACTATTTGTTTGAATTTGTTTGGGCATCTTTTGAGCATGTTCTGAGTATTTCTTATTTTTCGTCCAAAATCCCCCTGCAGGGGGACAGGCCCGACCTGAGGGCAGGGCGCACCCAAAGGACCCGACTCCTCTCCCGGGTCCCGCCTTCTCGTCCCGAGCTGTTTCCTGGCGGCCGGGGGGGCTCGGTAGGGGCCCTTGGAGGAGCGGTCGAAAATTGTGGATGCTTCGCGGAACCCCACCAGCCCATCCAGCAGCGATGCCCAGACGAGTTTCCCTGATCAGGGATGTGGAGGAGCATGCAGTGGAATAAAGGGTTAGGTAGGACGTCGCATCCCAAGAGGGGGAGAATGGAGGAGGAATCGGAAGACCAGGAGGGAGGAGGAGTAGGGAAAGGGGGCGGGGGAGGAGGGAAGGGGAAGGAGGGGGATGAAGAGGAAGAGGAGGATGAGGAGGAAGAGGAGGAGGAGGAAGGTGGAGGAGAAGGAGGGATGAATATTCTTACTAAAAATAATAGCAATAATAGTAATCCCAATACTCATGATGAGACAACTAAGACTAATATCAGAATGCTACTCACATTAATTCTTGTAGTAATAAAATTGAGGCTAATACGAATAGCATCATCAATTATAATACTAGTACTTGTAACAATAATGAAAATATGAATAAGATTGTCATTGGCAATAACACTCATACTCACCATCGTAATGCTAACATTCTAGATACTACTAATACTATCCGTACGACTGTTAACAATAATCATCACACTCGTGATAATTGTACGAGTAGTAATAAGAATATCAGTAGCAATTCTTTCACGAATCTTATTAATTTTGATATTATTCTTACGACTACTACTACCAGTAACATTTGTGATCGTACAACTAATCATACTAATTCTGATATCCAGAGTACCAACATATTACCAGCACTCATATACATCATTAATAATGATATCACTAGTAATACTGCTAGCAGTAATATGAATGACGCTACCGATACGAACAACACGAATGCTACCGATAGGACTCATGAGAATACAACTAATGGTGCTGATGTTGGTGATGATGAGGACTATGCTGATGATACTAATAACACGAATACAATTTTCACCATCATTACTAATGCTACACTAATAGTACTGATCTTCACACTAACAATTTGAAGTCGAGCAATGCGTACTAAAACCACTATTACTTATACGAATACATCGAACACTCATAACACACACTAATACTTACAATAGCAATACTTAGAACATTCGTAATGCCAATACTAATCATGTATTAATGCCAGTAATACAGTAATGATAACAATAAACAGGGCAGGAGGAGGAGGAGCATGAGGAGGTGGAGGAGGAGGAGGGGGACAAGGAGGAGACGGAGTGCGAGCAGAAGGCCAAGGGCTTCGTGACGTCTCTCGGAGTCTCTTCGGGTGTCATCAGAAAGCTTGTTGTAATCCTCTTGGGGCGTCTTTGATGTTTCTTGGCAGTCCCAGGGGCCTCTTTGGGCGTCTTGGGTGCTTCTGGAGGGCCTTTTGGGGCCTCTTGAGGGTCTATTGGGAACCTCTTCGAGGAATCTTGGGGGCGTCTTGGGGCCCTTTCGGGGGCTTATTGACAGTCTCAGGGGCCTCTTTGGTCGTCTTGGGTGTCCCTGGGTGGCCTCTTGGGGCCTCTTGGGGCCTCTTGGGAATCTCTTGGGGGCCTCTTGGGAGCATCTAGGGGGCCTCTTGGGTGCCTCCTGGGCGCCTCTTGGGGCCGTCTTGGGGCACCCTTCGAAGCCTCGTGGGCCATCTTGGAGCCATCTTGGAGGAGATCGATCAAGGGACGGGCCCTACTAGATTAGGGCTTCCCCCCAGGAGGCCAACGTGTGGCCCAAACCAATGCAAAATCAATGATTCTGGCCTTTCGCCAAGGTCTCTTGGAGCGCCTTGGGTGCCTCTGGGGGGGCCTATTGGGCCTCTTGGGGATCTCTTGGGAGCTTCTTGGTGGCATCTCGGGGACCTCCTGGGCACCTCTTGCGGTCGCCTTGCCGCACCCTTGTCAGCCTCGGGGGCCATCTTGGGGCCATGTTGGGAACATCTTGGTTGGAGATCGATTAAAGGAGGGGGTCTCCTTGATTAGCCCCTCCCCGTCTGGCTTAAACCTCCGTCAAATTAGTGATTTAGGCTTTCTCGCAAAGGCCTCTTGCGGCGTCTTGGGTGCCTCTGGGGGGCTTCTTGGGGCGTCTTGGGGCCTTCTCGGGGGCCTCTTGGCAGTCTCAGGGGCCTCTTTGGGCCTCTTGGGTGTCTCTGGGGAGCCTCTTGGGGCCCCTTGGGGATCTCTTGGGAGCCTCTTGGAAGCATCTTGGGGGCCTCTTGGGGGCCTCCTGGGGCCTCCTGTGCGCCTCTTGGGGCCGTCTTGGGGCACCCTTGGGACCCTCGTGGGCCATCTTGGGGCCATCTTGGAGGAGATCGATCAAAGGAGGGGGGCTCCTTAATTCGGACCCCTCCCCCAGGAGTAGGCCTTCTCGCCGAGGCCATTTTGGACGCCCTAACGCCTCGCGACCTCCCCCGTTCAGGTCAAGGGGAAGGGGGCAGGGGAAGGGGTGAACCCCTCCCCGAAGGGGAAGATTGGGGTTGGAAGAGTAAGCCCGCTAAACCACTCACGCCCTCAAGGGCTGGCGGGACTTGTAGTTTTATTGTTGCTTCGCGAAGCGAGGGGGTCTGGGTATACTCCGCGTCGGCCCTGGCAAGGATCGGCGCGGTGTACAGTTGGTGTCCCCTACATGGCCAGGAGAGGGAAAGCGCCCACCGCCATCGAAGAGTGCGGATTCCCTGGGCCTGCGCCGGAGGACATTCCTGGTGGACATCGGTCCCCTCGTGCAGGCCGGGTGGACTCAAAGGAGGAAAAACCACCCGGACCGGACAATTGGCGTTTACTAAACGGCCTTCGGCGTTTACTAAACAGCCCTGCCCTGTTCGATTCCTTCTTTGGGCGTGTCTGCTTCGCGTGTCGGGGTCGTTATTATCGGGTTGGATTTCCTGCCCTCTAGGGACGGGTCTTCGGGACGGGCCCGCGGACGGATCGGTCGTGGTGGGCACGTTCTCTGCCCCTGCACGGTGGGCAGCAGCGGAGTCATCGTCGTGCGGGAGGGCCCGCCCGGGCAGTCCGTGCGGCCGGATGCCGGGCTGTGGCGCGTGCGGTGCGGCCCGGTGGCGTCTCCGGAGCGCGCCGTGGGCAGGGTGGCGCGGGGCGCCCGGGCCCCGCGGCTCGCCGGGCGCTCGCGAGAGCAGGTCCTCCAGGCCGGCCGGCGAGGATCGAGGAGCCCCTAACCCTAACATTAGGTCGGGCCTGTCCCCCTACCCTACAGGCGGACTTGGGGCGAAGAATGAAGAGTACTTAGAAAAGATACTCCCCGAATGCTTACAAAATAGTCCAAAAGTAGTCCCCAGACTATAATTTGACCACTTTTGAATATTCCTCCTGTAGAGGGACAGGCCCGACTTAACCCTAATAATACGATGAAGGCGTGGCTTCAGTGAGGTCCCCGTCTTTGCATTAGGGATACTAGATATGGGCGGTGTGGATCGATGCATCTGCAGATAGACACCCTATCCCTCATGTTTTTGGCCCTCTTACTCCTAACTTTGGGCCCCTCTCAAAGGGTTAGGGGTCCTTTTATTGCTAATCATCCAGGCTGGCGAGGAGGAGCTCGTGTACAACATTCTCCAGTGGTACGGAGCTCGAAGAACTGACAACGGCACAAGCATCATTTCTCGGAGGTCCTCGCGCATTTCTTGGCTCGGCGTTGGCCTCCCTGGCGCCGCCTCCAGCGCCTCTCCTGGCGCGCTCTGCGCGCCAGGGAGGGGGTCCAGGGCCGATCCACGAGATCTGCGCGGACCTCCACACACTCTATGGTTACCCCCTTTCTGTTCCTCTAGGAACGGTCGTCATCGATATGCGGCCAGGGGACGAGCCGCGCCTGACCGAAAGCCTCATCTGCCCAGATGCCGCTTCTCTGGCGGGGCTGCCTTTTCGAGACGACGCTGTCGTCGTGGGCGATCTGCCTCCGGCCTCCATGGACGTGCTGCGCGGTCGTGTAAGCCGCTGTGTGTACAAGGTGCGGGCGGAGATGGTGCGGGCCTTGCTGGCTGAGTTTCCGCTTGTGGGAGGACAGCCTTCGGAGAAGAGAGCAGTGCTGCCCAACATTGTTGGAGCCCGCTTGGCTGTCGGGCACCAGGGCCACGCATCGATCCTCAGAGAATGGTCGGATGCACTGGGTATCGTTGGCGTCCTGAACTTGGCACCCAACAAAGTGGCGAGCGACTTCAGTGCAATAGAGGACCGCGCAAGGTATATTGAGCTATTCCATGATGATGGGCTGCCTCTCACAGACACTGTAGGTGACGGACATCGACTGTCAGATGTGTTGCCGCGTATTCTGAATTCTATCGAGTCTGCCCTGCAAGCCTACCCCTCGGGTCGTGTATTCGTCCACTGTCAACAAGGTCGATCCCGAGCAGGGTCTGTCGCGGTAGCTTACATGTTGGTCAGCAGTCCAGGGTGGAGATTGTTTGATGCAGTTTCCTTTGTAGCTGCGCGCCGTCCCGAGCTGGAGATCAACGCCAGTTACGCCGAGGTTCTCGAGGAGTTTGCACTGTCCTTGGGACGCCAGCCATCGCTGCCGTACGCGATGACTGAGTTGCCATTGCATTTCCGCGGAGGTGGTGTCGCGCGCGATTTCAGAGATAAGTGTTTTGATGCATCGAGCCATCAAGGTTCGGTGAGGTGAACCTGCACGGGCAAAATAGAGTTGACGTTCTTTTAGCCACGATTTTGGATCCTGCAGATGCTAGGGGCTTTGACAGGATGACTTTTACGGACTCGGTTCTGGGACCGGGAGTTGCGAAATCCGAAGTGTGCGAAGATGATCTCGCTTCGCGCACCGCGAAGCGCGGGTTCCCGTGGAAGGCTTGGCTCTCCTGCGCCTTCTCCTCTTTGCCTTCTGCGTTTCCCCTGTCTTCTCATCCTCCTCTCCGCCGCGGCCCTCGCCTTCTCGTTCCCCTCCCCCCTTCTCCCTCCCCCCCCGCCCTTCGCCGCCCCCTCGCGCTGCCTCCCCTCTCTCCTTCCCCCTCCTGCCGCACGCTCGGCAGGCAGCGCTGCGCTGCCTGCCTGCGCTGGGGAGATGCTGGTCCCGGTGGCCAGGGGGGTCCACAGCCTTCGCCGCAGGGCTCCACACACAGGGCTCTGCACGCCAGGCTTGAGGTCGGGCCTGTCCCTCTGCAGGAGGCATATTCGAAAGTAGTCAAAAACTAATCCGGGTACGATATTTCGAGTATTTTCTTAAATGCCATGTTTCTGAAAATTTTTTGGCTATCGCGAAGGCCTTTCTGCCAGTGCCGCCGACCCTGAGAACGACGAAGATGAAAACGAAGGGGGGCAGGGGGAGGAGGATGAAGGGTGGGGGAGGTGGATGAGGGAGGAGGAGGGGGGAGAAGGATGTGGAGTAGAAGCAAGAGGAGGAGAAGGAGGCACAGGAGAGCAGGAGGAGGGGGAGCAGAGGGGGGGGAGGAGGAGGAGGAGGAGGAGGAGGAGGAGGAGTAGGAGTAGGAGTAGGAGTCAAGCTAGCCAGCTCGAGCGAGTCAAGCATGGCATGCCCAGTCCCACCCGCCCTCCCACAACAAAAGAAGCAAAGCTGGCACAACTGGGGGCCGAAGTCACACCGGCCAGCCGGTTTGGTACAGCTGATGCGGCCGCGATGGCGGTTGCCGACGGGAACTGGCGAGCGCGTGTTGAATGCCGCGCACGCATTGCCAGACGAGTCGAGAATGGCCCGGTACACCGCAGGAAGCCAGAGGTGGCCGGAGGAAGCCCGACGGTCTGACAGGACACCCCAAAGCATTTTTGTGAAAAAGCATTGGGTTTTTGATGTTTTTATGTTGAAATGCTTGCAAACACACGGTGTTCGGTAGGATTCTGACATGAACGCGCGAGTGTGCTCTTTGTGGTATTTTTTGCACAGGATTCGCGGCCTGGGTGCATGACAGAGCATCGCGAGTGCACCGCGCGATGACGTGAAATCGCTGGATTTGACAGAATTCTTAAGATTCCTATGGTTTTCCTATGATTTCAGCAAGAGAGCCCGGGCGGGAAATTTGTACAATTTTTGTGAAAAAGCATTGGGTTTTTGATGTTTTTATGTTGAAATGCTTGCAAACACACGGTGTTCGGTAGGATTCTGACATGAACGCGCGCGTGTGCTCTTTGTGGTGTTTTTTTGCAATGGATTATCGCCGTGGACGACAGGACGTCCATGTCGAGAGGAAAAAATAAGAAAAATGTTGATTTTGTATTGTTTTTTACAGGTTAGGATGGGACCACCCGGATGCGGCCCCTAATGGCCGGCCTGAGGGGGGAGTAGGAGTATATTCTAATAAGGAATAAGGATAGGAGTCAAGCTAGCCAGCTCGAGCGAGTCAAGCATGGCATGCCCAGTCCCACCCGCCCTCCCACAACATAAGAAGCAAAGCTGGCACAACTGGGGGCCGAAGTCACACCGGCCAGCCGGTTTGGTACAGCTGATGCGGCCGCGATGGCGGTTGCCGACGGGAACTGGCGAGCGCGTGTTGAATGCCGCGCACGCATTGCCAGACGAGTCGAGAATGGCCCGGTACACCGCAGGAAGCCAGAGGTGGCCGGAGGAAGCCCGACGGTCTGACAGGACACCCCAAAGCATTTTTTGTGAAAAACATTAGGTTTTTGATGTTTTTATGTTGAAATGCTTGCAAACACACGGTGTTCGGTAGGATTCTGACATGAACGCGCGAGTGTGCTCTTTGTGGTATTTTTTGCACAGGATTCGCGGCCTGGGTGCATGACAGAGCATCGCGAGTGCACCGCGCGATGACGTGAAATCGCTGGATTTGACCGAGAATTCTTAAGATTCCTATGGTTTTCCTATGATTTCAGCAAGAGAGCCCGGGCGGGAAATTTGTACAATTTTTGTGAAAAAGCATTGGGTTTTTGATGTTTTTATGTTGAAATGCTTGCAAACACACGGTGTTCGGTAGGATTCTGACATGAACGCGCGCGTGTGCTCTTTGTGGTATTTTTTTGCAATGGATTATCGCCGTGGACGACAGGACGTCCATGTCGAGAGGAAAAAATAAGAAACATGTTGATTTGGTATTGTTTTTTACAGGTTAGGATGGGACCACCCGGATGCGCCCGCTATCTGCCGGCCTGAGGGGGGAGTAGGAGTATCTTCTAATAAGGAATAAGGATAGAAGGAGGAGGAGGAGGAGGAGGAGGAGGAGGAGGAGGAGGAGGAGGAGGAGGAGGAGGAGGAGGAGGAGGAGGAGGAGGAGGAGGAGGACGAGGAGGAGGCCAGAGGCTTTCTTGGGACAGCCTGGGCTCTCTTGAGGCCGTCTTGGGCCGTCCAAGGCTCATCTTGCGCCGTCTCGAAGCACTCTTGGAGGCCTCCTGGGCAATTTGGGGCTCTCGTGGGCTGTCTTGGGGCAATATTGGGGGCCTCTTGGAGCCGTCTTGGAGCCGTCTTGGGCCGTCTTGGGGCCCTCTTCGGTCGTTAGGGGACCCTCATGGGGGCCTCTTGGGCCGTCTCGGGGCGATCTTGGGGGCCTCTTGGGCCGTCTAGGCGCGTCGGGAAGCGGAAGAGGCAAGAACGCCACAATCTTATAAACACGTATGGGAAATCCATGAATTTTGCCTCTTGGGGCTCTCGCGGGGAAGCTCCTGGAGGCCTCTTGGGGCGCTTTACAGGCCTCTTGGGCCGTCTGGAGGCCGTCAAGGCGTCTTGGACAAATCGTTCGGCGATTCGGGGTTCTCTTGGACTGTCTTTGGGGCCTCTTGGGGCACTCTTGACCCGTCTTGGGGCTTTTTTGGGCTCCGGGACTCCCCAGGGGGGCGTCTGACCCCCCCCCAGGACCCTTCCCCCCACCCCCCCCCTGGCGGGGAAGGGATCGAAGGGAAGGGGCTTCCCTTCGCCTCAATTACGACGTTGCTCAACTTCGCTTTGGTTGGCGCGCTGAGGAGGTCCCTGGGAAAGGTGGGAGCTTCGACGAGCCCAGGGAAAGGGGAGGCAGGGAAAGGGGACGACAGAGGCGACGACCAACGAATGACGGAGACGACGACTTGAACGGACAAGCCCCTCACACGCGCCGACAGGGTCGGCGGATCCTCTCCCTGGGCACCGAGGAGCCCAGCCGGGGAGCCCTTGCCGGGAAGCCCCTTCGTTCCCTTCGGGCCGCTCGTGTAGGGGGCCACATGCGAACCCTACCCCTACCCCCCACGACTTCTGAGGGGGAGGGTGGGGTAGGGTTCGCATGTGGCCCCCTGTCCTGGGCACCGAGGATCCCGGTCGGGGAGCCTCGTCGTGGCCGAGAGCCTCCCCGTGGCCCTGGAGCCACCGTTTCGTTCCGTACCCGGCGGCTTTCCACGACGGTGGTCGCTGCAGGCGTGAAGGGTGCTTCGCTCGAGAGGGTTCGCAGATCGCCATGCGAGCGTCCTCGCGTGCGCTGGGGCGGCCGTGGCGTCCGCTGGTCGGCAGCGCCCTCACACACAGAGATGCAGCGTGCGGGTCGGCCCTCCGGGGGCCCCGCGCGCGCTCAGACCTCGTACAGTGCATGGCTCGGTCTCGGGCACTCTCCGGCCATGCTGCGTGGGTAGCGATGCTGCCTATAAGCTGTTTGTGCTGTGTGCTGGGTTTGGGCGTGAGGCTCCAACAGGGGCGCACAGTACTAGTATGGCTTCCTGCGCCCCAGATGCTCCATGCCCCCCGTCTCGTAGAGGTTTCCGATTTGAGCGACGGAAGCAGGCGGGGTCGACTGCGACGACATTCGCGCGCAAGCTTCCCGCGTGAGTTCTCGCGTAGGCGCCCTCGTTTCCAATGTAGCGTGCCGCGCTGGCGGCCCGCGTAAGCCGAGGCGTGCGTTCGCTCATGTTTACTGTCGTAAGACCGGTCAAGAACCAAACGACACCATCCGTAAGCATTCTGGCTCAAGCGGCTGCTTGTGCTCAAGCCAAGCCGCTTTCGCCCCAGCTGCCGTATCAGTGGGCAGTCGCCATGGCGCTCAAGTCGAAGACGCTCCCGGTGCTCGTCCTGGCCGCGCTGTGCCTCTTCGCCCTGCGCGGGCTCGCGTTCGTGGCGCCCTCTGGCGGCATGGCCGCGCGCGCCGGCGCGGGGGCCCTCGCCGCTGGCGCCGCCCCGACGGTCGCGAGCAGCTCGGAGGGCGGCCTGGTGGCGATGCAGGCCCGGGGCGGCGCGGAGGGGCTGGAGGTGGAGGATCCGCAGCTGTACATCGTCGTGATGTGCGTGCTCTTCGGTGCCTCCGTCCTGGCCAACTCCAACGGCTTCTTCGGCCCCTGGTGAGCACGCGCCGGGAGGGGCATGCTGGCAGCAGACGTGTACGTAGTTTTCCCTCTCCTGGCACTTGCTTGGAGGGGCGCGCCCCAGCTGTAAATATCTGATGGCTCCAGCTCTCGCGCATTGAGGTTCGGATTTATCAAGGGCTGCCAGATCGAAGGGGCCCGATCTCACGACGGCTTCGGGATCGCAATTCCTGCGCAGTCGGAGTCAGGGGGGGATGAAAACACAAACGACACCACCCCACCTACGACCCGCCGTGTTGAATTGTTTCGACCTTGTCGCGCACTCGTTTCGGCGATGCCTCGGTCTCCGTGAGAACTCGCCGAGACTGCTCGGGGCAAGGGCCTAAATGTTCAACATCGCTGGGTCGTAGGTGGGGTGGTGTCGTTTCGTTTCTGGTCCATGAG